ATATATATATAATTTCTGAACTGAATTTTATATCGTAATTAATTAAGCAAGTATCGTTAAGTATAAGTTAAGTATTGCAAATAAATACATATGTACGTGCTTGAAAAAAAGTAAAATTTTATGTTTTTGTATTTCAAGGTTCTATTTTAATTTGAAACAACGAATAAAATAAAAAGTACACAAATTACAGCAGCTTAGTAATAATTACTATCACTAAAACATATATAAATACTTACATACATATGCAGTAAAAATTCACGAAACAATTTCGGAATGTAAAACCATTTTAAATATTCATTTAGATAAAAGTTAAAATATATTAAACTAATGTCTAATATACATATACATACATACATAAACAGTTACTCCTAAACGTGAGTTTTTGAGACTTGAATTCTTTTTCGAAATTCGTATTAAAAAGTTCGCGATTTTACTGACACTTTGCAGATTTTTCTCAATGTTTGTACACAGTATCATTCTTAGATTTAAATCAGATTTGCTAAAATATAAGCCAAATCGTAATACAAAATTAACAAAAAATTTTAGCACGTAAAACATTGCGAATATTAACTAAAAAGAGCCGTGCGCTCAATTTTAGGAGTAACTGTTTATGTATGTAAGTGTGTATGTATGTTAGACATTAGTTTAATATATTTTAACTTTTCTTCTTCTTCTTTTTTGGCGCTGTAACCGCCTAAGCGATTTTGGCCGAGTTCAGCAAAGCACGCCAGTCGTTTCTCCTCTGTGCCAACTGACGCCAATTGGAAACGCCAAGTGAAGCCAAGTCCTTCTCCACCTGATCTTTCCATCGCAGTGGGGGTCTCCCTCTTCCTCTGCTACCACCAGCGGGTTCCGAGTTGAATACTTTCAGAGCTGGAGCGTCGGTGTCCATTCGAACGACATGACCAAGCCAGCGGAGCCGCTGTATTTTAATTCGCTGCACTATGTCCATATCGTTGTAAAGCTCATACAGCTCATCGTTCCATCGTCTGCGGTACTCGCCGTCGCCAACGCGTAAAGGACCGTAAATCTTCCGCAAAATCTTCCTCTCAAACACCCCAAGAGCCGCCTCATCGGATGTTGTCATTGTGCATGCTTCTGCGCCATATACCAGCACGGGCATGATGAGTGACTTATAGAGCGTGGTTTTCGTACGTCGAGAGAGGACTTTACTCCTGAATTGCCTACTCAGTCCAAAGTAGCACTTGTTGGCAAGAGTGATTCTACGTTGGATTTCAATGCTGACATTATTATCGGTGTTAATGCTGGTTCCCAAGTAAACGAAATTCTCTACTTTCTCGAAACTGTAACTGTCAACAGTGACGTGGGTGCCAAGGCGCGAATGTGCTGACTGTTTGTTTGATGACAGGAGATACTTCGTCTTGTCCTCGTTTACCACCAGACCCATGCGCTTTGCTTCCCTATCCAACTTGAAAAAGGCAGAACAGACTTCGCGGTTTTTGTTACCGATGAAGTCGATGTCATCGGCATAAGCCAGCAATTGCACGCTCTTGTACTAAATTGTTCCTGAGCGGTTCAGTTCTGCAGCTCTTATTATCTTCTCCAACATCAGATTAAAGAAGTCACACGAAAGGAAGTCGCCCTGTCTGAAACCCCGTTTTGTGGCGAACGGCTCGGAGAGGTCTTTTCCAATTCTGACGGAGCTGGTGGTATTGCTCAACGTCATTTTACACAGCCGTATGAGTTTTGAGGGGATAGGCAACTCCTTTTAGTGCTGTCAAAAGCGGCTTTAAAGTCGACAAATAGGTGGTGAGTGTCGATCCTTTTCCAAGATTTGGCGTATTGTGAATACCTGGTCTATGGTGGATTTGCCAGGTCTAAAGCCACACTGATAAGGCCCAATCAGTTCATTGACGGTGGGCTTCAGTCTTTCACACAATACGCTCGATAAGACCTTGTAACCTATGCTTAGAAGGCTGATCCCGCGGTAGTTGGCGCGAATGTCGGGGTCACCTTTCTTGTGGATTGAGCAGAGCACACTTAAATTCCAGTCGTCGGGCATGCGTTCATCTGACCATATTCTGCACAAGAGTTGATGCAAGCACCTTATCAACTCCTCGCCGCCGTACTTGAATAGCTCAGCTGGCAGGCTGTCAGCCCCAGCGGCTTTGTTGTTTTTCAGTCGCGTTATTGCTATACGTACCTCGTCATAGTCAGGCGATGGAACGTCGACTCCGTCATCATCGACTGCGGGCTCGGGTTCTTCTTCTCCACAACTTTCCGTGCTGCTACCATTTAGTAGCCCTCCATAATTTAAGTACGCTCTGGACATCAGTTACTAGGTCGCCATTATTGTTCTTACAGGAGTGCGCCCCGGTCTTTAAACCTTCCGTAAGTCGCCTAACTCTCTGGTAAAATTTTCGGGCATTCCACCAGTCGGCCAGCATTTCAAGCTCTTCGCACTCACGTATTTCTGCCTCTCTCTTCTTGTTGCGGCAAATACGTCCGCTTCCCTCTTCAGATCCCTATAGCGGTCCCACATAGCGCGCGTTGCGCCCGATCGCAGCGTGGCCCTGTAGGCGGCATCTTTTTTCTCTGCAGCTTCCTGACACTCCTCATCGTACCAGTTGTTCTTTCGGGCTCGCTGAAATCCGACTACTTCTTCGGCGGCGGTACTTAATGAGCGGGAAATGTGGTTCCACTGCTCGCATATGTCGGTTTGTTGAAGAGTGCTTTCTGAGAGCAGGTGCGAGAGTCGAGTAGCGAAAGCGCTGGCTGTCTGTTGTGATTGCAGCTTTTCGACGTTAAGCTTTCCATGCATATTTGGGCGCACATTTTTTTGCTGCACAGAGGCGGGTGCGTATTTTGGCTGCAACAAGATAGTGGTCCGAGTCGATGTTTGGGCCTCGGAGTGTGCGTACGTCTAAAACACTGGAAGCGTGCCTTCCGTCTATCACAACATGATCGATTTGGTTTCTCGTTTTTTGATCCGGAGACAGCCAGGTAGCTTGATGAATCTTTTTATGCTTGAACCTAGTACTGCATACTACCATGTTTCGGGCCCCGGCGAAGTCGATCAGCCTCAATCCGTTGTCGGACGTTTCGTCGTGGGGGCTGAATTTTCCGACGGTGGTTCCAAAGATCCCTTCTTTGCCCACCCTGGCATTGAAGTCGCCAAGCGCTCGTACGTGCGCTCCAAGCGCTCATAGAAGAGATCCTTGGAAGCCTCATCCCTCTCTTCCGTCGGGGCATGGGCGCAGATGAGCGAGATGTTGAAGAATCTCGCTTTGATGAGGATTGTGGCTAGACGCTCGTCCACCGGGGTGAACGACAGTACTCGGCGACGGAGTCTCTCTCCAACCACAAATCCAACTCCGAATTTGCGCTCCTTTACATGGCAGCTGTAGTAGACGTCGCAAGGCCCCAGACATTGTTTGCCTTGCCCCGCATTTCTTGGATGGCGGTGATGTCAGCTTTTGTCCTTACGAGGACATCAGCCAGCCGGGCAGAGGCACCTTCCCCATTAAGGGTCCGGACATTCCAGGTGCATGCCCTCAAATCGTAGTCCTTTAAACGTTTGCCGTGGTCGTCATCATAAGGGGGGGTCTCATCCGAGGCTTTGCCTTGCTTCTTCACTGGAAGTGTTTTTTACGTGGCGGTTCCCAAGCCCAGCGCACAACCCATTGCTGGGACGGGGGTGGTTTCGC